GATCTCTGTAACTGAGAAGTCATTGTTTCCCACATTATCCACAGGCATGGTTCCATAAAACAAAAATCATACATATTTTATTTGTTCAGGTTGTAGGTTGCTTGTGGAGGCTCTCAGTCGTACAGGAAAGTTCCATCATAGAAAGGGTTCTGTCAGTCATCATCTGTACCTGTGGGTAAAAAACAAAAAACAAAAAAGGACGTTTCCCTTCTCTCACAGAAGCTTCGTCAGCGGTAGACAACCCTGAAGTCTCCGTGAAGACTCCGGAAAATTGCTCTGCGCTAAAAAGCTGAGCGTGGCCTATTTGAGGACTGGGTGGGGATGGTTAGTCACGCCCCTATGGTGAAGAGGCCCATTGATTTCTAAATTCCCTATCGTTGGGTCTTGATTAGGCCTATTGTTTGGGCTAGGGCTGAATAGCTACTTTCAGTTAGCCTGATCAGCATGTCTATGTCCCTTGGTGGTCAACAAGTTATTGTAAATAGGAGACAGGTTAAATCTGATACCTCCTTCACGGTTCAGAAAGGGTGAAAATTTTTGAAAAAAATCGCTTCCTTTACTCCCCTTTCAGGTTGTAGGTCAAATTTGTTGTGGAAAAAGTTTTGAAATTATTTATGTTGGTCTATAAACATTTCAGAAAATCAATTAATGAATAACTGATTAATATTCAAATAAAAGTGGCATTTGAAGAGAGGCATGTAAACTTTTTTTTTACTATCACCATTATATTTGATTAAATGATAAATAAGTGGTAAATGACGACACAGTTGAGGCAAGTCGGCGTTGATAATGGCACGGAAAATCTGGTTTCTTTGCAGTCTATAGTTTGTATTTTTGCTATTGTCCATGCTCCAGTAGGTGTGTCTTCAGACAATGAGATTATATTCATTGCTGGGAGAGAAGAAGGGGAATTATCGTACGCTGAGGGCCCAACACCCAATGAATGCACGGCAGAGCGAAGCTGTGTTTGACTCTGCCTGCTAATTAGTCCGATTACTGCACAGCTGGATTGGCCAGACGTTTTGCTGAGTTTTATCAAAAGGATCACTCACTCGATGAAGGCTTCATCCCGACAACTTCTGCTTCAGCAGAGTCCCTCTATTTTAGGAGCGCCCGACTCTGTCTGACGAGTAGCCGTCTCGGTTTGAAGAGAGTGGGAAAACTGAAACAGCCCCTCTTGTTCCTCTTTCTGTTATGCAAAAACGTTTTGAGTGCGCTGCTGAATTTAGCTCAAAGCTGTTTTGGCTTTCAGATTCAGCTTTATTCTCCTCATTTTATCAGGTTCGAGTGGCATCTAACAGAAGTCAGGATCAGCATTACTTTGTTTTTAAAAGAGCTCAAACAGCAGCTTGTGATCGATCTCCAGTGGCTGATGTCATGCTGAAATGTAGCAGGTGTAATTGTGGAATGCAGAGAAACCCAAAATCGTTCAGCTGATGATAATAATAACAATAATAATAATAATAATAATAAGAAGAAGAAGAAGAAGAAGAAGAAGAAGAGCATTCTCATGCATCCTGCAAACCCAGAAAGCTGATTGACCAATGTTCCAGTCATATAAAACACATGGGAAATGAGAGCCAAGTAAAATGCCCTGGAAAAGCTTCAATTGTGCTGGAAAAGGATTTCCCTCTCTCTCTGCTTCTCTCTGTGAACTCAAATGGGTTAAACAGACATGTATGCACGTTTTCAGCTGCCTTCATTGGGCAACATTGAGACTGCAGCGCTTTTTTGCTTCATGTCTACTTCTAGCCAGCAGAGTGCTCCATATGATGCTGCCAACCAATCAAATTGCATTTTCCCTTCGAACAGTTCTGCTGCCCAGTGCTTCCATATGACTTTTGTTGCTAGGTTTGCCGACTTTTCAGACCCAACTAAGGATTTCTTCAATGAAGCGGCAAAACTGGCGACGGTTGCTATAGCACTGTATATCCAGTGTGAGGTTTTTCTCCTCTGTTGAGTGACAGAGAGCTATAGAGGGCCTGCTGTCACTTCTTGCTGCGCTCTCTGAGATGAAATACATTTCTGGTTTCAGTCGAGCCACAGCAACCAGGTAATCTTACTGGACCAGGTTGCACACAATATTTCATATTTTGACACCTGGCTGTGTCAGAGACATGGCTGCTAGAATGGCCTTCGGCCTCTCTCCAGCCCATCAGCAGGTCGTTAGTCAATCAGCTGTGTTCCATCTTCTTGATGTACTTAACGGCGAAAGTAATTTATACGTCAACATTCAAGTAAGTGAGAACTTTTATTAGTGTTGTGACATTTGCGAACGAGTCGTTCTCTGCACGGCATCTTTTGGGGTCAGCGATGAGGATCAATTTGTGTCTGTGAGAACCGTTAATTATTATTATTATTTTTATTATTGCTAATTTGGTATGGTATTTGTACAAAATAGGAGATACAATTGTAGAAATTAACACTTCTTCATAGCTTGGGAGTGGAATTCATGAGTGTATGTTGTGATAAATTGACTCGTAATGTTGCATATCAAAAAGTCGTGCAAAATAATTTCAAGAAAAGAGTGGCAACCTGTGAAGATAATAATGATAATGATCGTAATAATAATGATGATAAGAATTCAATATAAATAAAGAGAATAATGGGGCGGCCGAGTGGACAGTGGTTAGCGCATTGACCTCACAGTGCAGAGGTACCGGGTTCAATCTCAGCTCCGGCCTCCCTGTGTGGAGTTTGCATGTTCTCCCCGGGCCTGCGTGGGTTTTCTCCGGGTACTCTGGTTTCCTCCCACATTCCAAAAACATGCATGGCAGGCTGATTGAACACTCGAAATTGTCCCTAGGTGTGAGTGTGAGCGCGGATGGTTGTTTGTCTCTGTGTGCCCTGCGATTGGCTGGCAACTGGCTCGGGGTGTCCCCCGCCTACTGCCCGAAGACGGCTGGGATAGGCTCCAGGACCCCCCGCGACCCTTGTGAGGATAAAGCGGATCAAAAAATGAATGAATAAAGAGAATAATATGAGTTTTCCCAATTACAACTATTGATGGGGTTTCTTCCCTGGTCCATGTCATACAGGGTGACCCAAAAAGATGCGTACCCATGAAAATTTCAATTGTGACTTTGATTAAAAAGCTATTTATTTCAAATTACAACCACACATTATTCAGTGTATGGAAGACCATTCACCAGAGTTTCAGCTATTTCTGTCAATTTTTAGTCAATTTATGGCTTTCCCAAGATGTGTTCCAAATGTCCACCATTCCATTGCAAGCAAACCTGTACTCGTCTGACAAAGTTGTCAATCACTTTTACACACTCCTCTTTCGGGATGGCTCTTATTTTTGCTGTGATGGCAGTTTTCAGTTCCTGCAACAGAAAAGACATTCGTTAAAAAATGGATTTTTTATCGAATAAAATATGGGTACGCATCTTTTTGGGTCACCCTGTACTTCTTCATGAAGTAGCGCGGGAATTGGGTCAGTTGTTCTTGTGTGATCATAAACACAAACAAATGGATCAAAACTCGAGCAATGAAAGCATTACCTCCTTCTGTCGTTCAGTCATGTAAAAGGGTAAATATTGATGAGTATTGTGTTCTCAGTAAATATTTGCAAATGCATGTGTCCATTTTTGATGCATGTGTTTATTCAAAAATAGATTAGATTAAAAAATGGTCTCATTGGAAATGTTTATTCGAGTGTTAGCACAATAGACGTATTCCTCGATAGGGCAAGGAACCATATTTGGTTGCTTAAAATGAAAGGAAAGTTTACATTGATTTTATTTTTCCAGGCAATCAGTAAAGGAAATTATTAGTTAGAATGAAACAAATGTTTGTTACATTTATGTATCATCACGAACATAATAATTATTAACGTGAAAGTAAATTTGTTCCCAGATAAAATAAAATGTCTGTAAAGAGTTTTCGTTAAAGGATTCAGAATTACAACACGATTTTCATTCAGTTTCCTCAGCCTCACTGAAATTAACCTTTTTTTAAGGCGCGATCTCCTGTCTCACGTAAATGAGTCACTTGTATTTGCAGAAATGGGAGCCCACAATGTAAAGGAAAAAACAACACAAAAACAAGTGCCATTAAAAGTATTGATTGTGTTTTCAGTCATGGAGGCAGTGTGTGAATCCATCCCGGTGGCACTTTCACATCGTATTTTAGACAGTGTACCCTTGAAAATGGGCAAGTCAGATGGTATAAAGTGATCCTATGTAAATGAATCCAAAAAATGGCATTACACATTTTACTAAGATTCACAATGGAATGGTTGCGGGCACATTTTGATCAATAGGCAACTAACAAAATATTTAATTGGCTATTCACTCGAAGACCCAAATATTTATCTAGAAGCAATTACAGTACATCATCAATTTATTTCTCCAATAGATCCCCATAAGCATTTAACTGTACAGCAGAGACATATCAACACTGATTTAGGAAAAATAATTGATCAATGTACAACAAAAAAAAAGGTGAAAGGACAACCTGAGTAATGGTACTGTTTGTTTATCTGTGGTGGCACTTTACTTCTATAAATTGGCCCACAAAATCCATTCGTGATGAAGTAATTCTCCTTAAATTTGTCAGTGTGCCCTCAATCATTTTTGGCCCTCACTGCTGCTATTGACTACTCTCCTTGCTCCTACGAAGGCAAACGCTCCACCCTGTGCGGACGGGACGTGACGAGTAGCAAATAGCAGTGAGTCAGGCAGTGCTGCAGGTATGTGTTGGGAGCGGTTGTGTGCTATCAAGCCACTGCAGAATGTAAGTGGAAATGAGAGAACGGTCCAGCACAAAAAAAGTGCCGTGTTTGGCAATCGGAGAGTGGCCCCACACCGAGCAACTAAATCCCACAGGGGTGTGTTGAGGGAGACACGCTAGTGAATCAACGCAGCTAATCTCTCACCATCATCTTGCTTGACCTCTCTCTCTACACCTGACCTCTCTCTGCCCTCTCATTTCACTTTTAAGTTTATGTCTGTCCTCCCTCAATCACCTTGGCATCGTTCTCCTCTTCACCGCAGCCCGTCGGAGCAACGCAGCTCTTCCAAGCCTCCTCTCAGCTCCTCGGCCACAACCTCGCGCATCCTGCTACGTCAACAGCTGATGCGCGAGCAGCTTCAGCAGCAGGAGCGGCGGGAGCAGCGCAGGCAGCAGGACTCCCAGTACCCACAAACCACAGCTGCACAGACCCCTGCCATCAATGTCACCGTCCCTGCACCGGCCGCTGCACAGGTGCCCATGGAAGTCCTGAAGGTAAGACCCTCTCTGGTTCTGCTGCTTGATGCTGAAGCAGAAAGACGAGAATATGACGCAAAGTGTGGTCATTCCGCTATAATATTTCCATCTCTGGAATCAGCGTGTGTCATTCATGCAGTCTGAGCAGTGTATTTATAGACTGTATTGACTGTGGTGTGTGGACAGTCGGGAAATCACGGAATTACTATGAGTGTGTGTAAAAAAGAAAAAAAAATCAGGGGTGAGTGAAGTGTGTTCGAATGTGTATATGGGGATTATCTTTCCTGAGAGAATTCCTCTTTAATGCATGCTGTGCTTCCAGCCGTTTGGATTTAGCCATCTTTAATCCTATTTGCTCAGCTACATTCACATCTTTTCATAGCTTTGATTCCCTGGCAGTGCGAGGGCCAGGAGACTCTTAAGGTTTTTCTGTACAAGTCCAAGCCGTAGCATTTGAGGGTGCATTTTTACACCGGTCTCTGGTAAGTTTCATTTTTTTTTCCCTGTTGTCCTGAAAATATTGGTAGCAGTGTGTTGTTGTTCTATTCAACATTGTGTGGGTGCTGGTGGTGGGTTTTTTTCAACATTGAAACTTTACATTTTGTTTGTTTGTTCAAAGATGCTGTTGGAATAGTTATTTCTGTTCTAAGAATTGTTGTTTCCTGCAGTTTGTCAGGATAGAAATGCATATAACTAGCCTTTACAATATCAGGATTTTGGAGCCGATCATCGATCAGAGAGTTGGAAAAAAAATGTTAGCCAATCACTGAAACGAGCAGAAGATGGACCAATCTATTGAAACAACTTGTTTGTTGACTGTACAGTTGACCCCCGTTCCTTGCGGATGATCGGGACCGGACCATATAATTGAAACGCCTTGGGAAAAAAAATAAGCTAAAAATTCTCCCAATCACGCTGATAAGCATTTATGTCACAATGTTGGGAAAAAAACTGACTGTATATGCTGAGAAACTTTGGATTCTTAACGATGGCAGCACAGAATGCATTTGGGCTGCACGCTATTGGAAGAACATATGTTATGGGTGTTGAATATCGCAATATCGATTTTATTGCAATATTTAACAGTCTCGATTCGTTTTGTACTTTTCTTTTTCTTTCATGGTGCACCAGTTGGCATGCAAGATTCATAAAAAATAACTATCGTGACCATTGTTGAGATCATAATAGCTCCTAATATCAAGTGCTATCGTGATGCATTGTGGTTCCACGGACATAGTAAGAATTGCGTTCAGAAGTCATTAGACTGCCGCGAGGGACACACTGTAATTCAAAGCAAAGAACACAGTGATTCAAGTTGTACTGATTAGAAGACAAATCAAAGTTGTATAATCTCACATTGTGTTGTAAAGGGTCCATACTCTGGCAGTTGTACTGATTAGAAGACAAATCAAAGTTGTGTTGAAATCTCAACAAATCTCACATTGTGTTGTAAAGGGTCCATACTCTGGCAGCTAGTGAGTAATCTTTGTTGAACTAAATCCATGCACAGCACATTGAGAGATTTCATGGTTGCTTGCTCAGCCAAACTTTCATCACCCTTGGATGTGTGTGGCATGGGCCAGGCATGGCGCTCAAATACAGTATAAGGGCCACAAACACTGGTCCTCTCACGCAGCATCAACCTAATCTGCAGCGCTTTGCGAGCTTTCGGCCGGCCCCTCCTCAAACCCTCGCCTTGCGTACAATACGCCGCATTGGAGTTATTTTTCTGGTTTGGCAAGAGCTTACAGACATTCTTCGCTGACTGAAGTTGTCAAATGAAAAGGCCGTTCCAGCTTGGCGCTGTTGAGCTGGGTTAACCTACTCCCCCTGTCTGTGGTTAGATTAGTGGAGTGCGCGCAAAGATCAGGGGTACCAGGCAGAGCTGCTGGACCTCAAAAAGTGCAAACATTAAGCTCAGATGAGTTTATCTAAAGACTGATTGGACCCTTAATTAACCAAGTGACCTCTGAACTCCGGGGGTATAACAAGGGATCAGTTTAGGGATCAAGACAAAGGAGAGCACAGCCTTGCCACACACTGAACACTAATTCAGTGAAGAATGCTTGTAATTAGCCCATGCCGCTTTCATTCCACTGCATATTTAAGAGAAAAAAAAATGCCTCTTTGAAATGTGTTTGGGATAACTTCCTAAAAGGGTTAAATATGATTTCAAATTTTTGTTACCCCTGGGGATTTACGGAATCTCAAAAAGAAGAAATTCCTGTACATGTTCTCTTGGATTATAAAGTCAGTAACTCGTGATCCATATGCCTCACAAATTAGACAAACATTTCACACTAACATTGGCAATGACCTAAAACTCGAGAGAACTGCACTGAAGTGTAAAGCAACAACAATAACTTGACCTTCAGATAACAGATTCAAAATGATGTTGGTAATTTAACACGGCACCCTACTAAAACCTGAAACTACAATTTTAAAAATAATGTATCTTGATTTTACTTCATGGTAGGTTTACTTGCATTTCACTTTACAGCAAGATAATTCACAGAATTTACGATAAAACTCAAACACTAAAAGGGTGTAAAAGAAATACATTGCAAAGAAGAAGACAAAAGAAAAGCAAAAAACAAGCTCAAATTTTGAGGGGAAGTTATAATGCAGCATTATATCTTAATGAAAGCCATACATAAAGCAGCGATTCTCAACTTCTGGGTTGTAAAGCTAGTAAAATAAATAAATACAATTTAAAAAATACTGTACAAGGAGTCTTCAGTTTACGGCGGTGCCAAACAGCAACGTGCAATGAACTAGTATGCGTAACTGTGTACAATTTGTGGTCATGCGGCACAAAAAGGATCAGTTCTCACTGTACTGTGTCTCATTTGATTGTTTTATACTTATGGCCTGAAAGTGTTTTTCATCCAAATATTTACTGTAACTATAACTTGACAACGAGGTTAGCATAGGTATGTAATAGATGGCTCATTCCGACTTCTGTACTCGACAGCAGTGTTTCACGCGTAAGGGTTCCGGTGCACATTGCAGAGGGTACAAGGAAACACCAGACCGGTGGTACAGTCATGCCCAAATCACAACAGCCATATGTGAAATCAAGTGGCTCATTAAAGCTCGAATGACTGATAAAAAGAAAGTCAAACTGCTATAGTGGGTCTGAATATGATTCATGTTCAGGGTTTTCTTCCGGATATTTAGGTCTAAATACCTGTGCACTGCCCGTACACTAAGTGTGTACGGGTTTAGTCTGAGCTAGACAGTGAGCTAAACCTCTTCATAGTTTTTAACTTTTAAAATAAAATCTTGACATCAATGCTTGGCAGAGTGAAAACTGCATGCATAGATTTAAAGTGAGCTTTCTTCTTTGTGCGTGTACCACATGAGCCTCCAACGCTTCCTGATTTACATTGCTTGCACCTAAAATAGCATAGTTTTCAAAAGAAGTGTCAACTGAACCAAAACTCACCAGAAAGGCAGAGCAGCCTGTTGAAAGGGGACTTATTCAAAGGATCTTCATTTTTTAGCTCTCTCTCTCTCTCTCTCTCTCTCTCTCTCTCTCTCTCTTTCCTCACCTCTCTCTCTCTTTCTCTCTCTCTCTGTCTCCCGCCTGCACACCCAC